ATACTTTATTTAAATATATGTATATTTAATACAAGAACGCTTATACTTCAATTTAAGTATAAGACCTCTAGAACAAAGAATACACTATACTGTATTTAAGTATAGCTATTATTAAAACAAATACCTAATTCTTCGCTTAAGTAAATACCGTCCACCCTCTAAGACCGCTTCGCTAAAAGAAAAGACGCAGTTTCTGTGTTCAGTTCTGTCCTGTGTTCTATGGTGGTAGCGTGTGTTCGTTTTTTGCTTTTTCGGTCTGGATGTTATTTTTAATAAAAAATAATGGAGAAGAAACTTAAAAATTGGTGCTTAGAATGTTTACTAGACACATTTTTGGGTAAGTAAATAATATTGCATTAATTTAAAGTAATTAACTAGGCATGATCGTAAAAATGTAGTGTAAAATGGATAGGTATACTGTAGTGTAAAATGGATAGGTATACTGTAGTGTAAAATGGATAGCATACGACAGGTAATAGACAATAGCACATAAACAGCAGAAAGGCTATAGCCTCCAATTCAGCTATATTATTTTTGTTTTAGAAAACGAGATAGATCTCGATATTACGGTAAACCTAAGCGAGGAGAATTTAAAGGAATTAATTCCAAAAATAGGATTGTGGATCAAGGTTGGAGAAAAAATTGAAGAATTAACACCACACCATCTACGATGATAATGGTAGCCTTCTTAGAGACTTATTTTACAAATTATTTAGCTGATGATAATGGTAGCCTTCTTAGAGACTCATTTTACAAATAATTTAGCTGGAGATAAATTTTACTGATAATTTTTTTCTTACATGAAAACGTCGTAGTTGAATTACATTTAAGTCACTTTGATAACGGATAAAAAGGAAGGTAACTTTTTGCAAGTGGATAATTATTTATTTACCTCGTGTCATTTTATTTCCTTGACAACCTTGCAAATAATTATTTTTTAATACCAGTTGTTAAAATATCTTTTAAAATGAATCGTTTTGGTGTCGTGTCCTACAAAAAAAATAAAGAATAAATTGTAAATAGCGACAATTTATGGCATTTTGTAATGCGAGGAATTACAAACTACTCGACTCAACATCACAGCAAGACTTAGCAAATATTTTGCTTGATTGGGCATACAATATGAAAAAAATTAATGGAGATGATTATAAGGAATACGTTATCAAAACTATGTGGAACTCAACGGCAAAAATGCTTCAAGAGAAATACTATCAAGATTTTAATATCAAAATTAATCCATTTTCCGATATTGTATTCAAAGAGGCCCGTGATGCTAGAAATTATAAAAATGGCTAATATATGGAAAGGAAATGAACCAGAAGGTTTACAAAAAAAATTCTTCCATATTGTTTCTCACGAGTTAGCATGGAGAGGAGGATCTAAAAGATTAAGTGAAAGTAAATGGATTTTAAAAAATGAGAAAGATCCAAGCATTTGTCCAGTAAGACTAATTAAAGTTCTTCTGGAAAAAATTTCTAAATACATAACATCAGATCGTATGTTTCTTACTCCAAATCCATTTTGGAATAGACAAAATTCTAAAGGTTGGTACAAAAACATGCCCTTGGGTAAAAAAATAATCTCAAAATGGACGCAAATCTCAGCAAATGCAATTGGACTCGACACAAAAAAGATCAAAATAACAAACCATTCAAACCGAGCCAGTACTGTATCCGAATTAGCTAAAGCGGGAGTAAGCGACCAACAACTCATTAAATTAACTGGCCATTCTAATAGCAAGTCTTTAAAACCATATTTACAAATAGATGCAACACATCATAAAGAAATAGTTTCAAATTTACGAAATGATATGAAAATTGCCTGTCAGTCAAACAATGAAAACAACATTCAAAATTCAAGCATTATAATGCTGTATACAGATTTTATTGAAGAAAATAATACACTGGAGCTATCTTCTACCTCTACATCCAGAATTATTTATAATAATTGTTCATTTACTAATTGTTCATTTAAATAAATTTAAAAAAGAGACTTAATCATCAATTAATCACAAAATTATCTCGTCGAATTATACTCGAGCTTTTTTTTCTGGCAGGATAAATTTATGTTTTCTAACTTTCAAACTTATTACCTTTTAGCAATTTGACTCGAAAAAATGTCATCTGACAAAATCGCTCGACCTACGGTCTCGCAATTTTGATTGATGACATTTTTTCTTGTCAAATTGCTAGGTAACAAGCTTTTAAGGAAAACAAAAATTTATCCGGCTAAAAATAAGCTCTTGTGTAATTATAGTCGACAATAAAAATATCTACTTAAAAAAATAATAACTATTGTGATTAAAAACCTTACCTTTACATATAGCACCAAAAATGTGATACCTAGGTACTTAAAAAAATAAAATGTAAAATAAAGTATCTATGTTAATTAACCGTGAAAGAATGAATGAAATATAAATTGACAGTACTTTTTCTAATACCTCTAATACTTAGTACTTTAGTACATTAAAATAATTAAAATAATCTGCCAAAAATACTGTTAAATTACTGTCATAACGATTATATTTTCACTTTCACTTGTATTTTCCGTAGTGGTAGGATAATTAATACAAATATTTTTCAGGGTCACAAATGTTTTTTTTGTAAAAATTATTCCGAGTCGCTAGACGAGGGAATTTTTTTTCCAATCAACCACTTTCTTTAAGAATAGTGTAAAGTTATTTTAAATATATACTATACTTTTATCAAATATAAAAAAAGGAAAAGTAAGAATACAAGCATTTTATGCAAGTAAAGCGTGTACTTACAATAAGTATAAATAAATAAATTTTAAAGAAAGTATATTCTTAAAACAAGAATACTGTAAAGATTTTACAAAGAAACTATACTTTGATGAAGTAGGTACATACTAACGTTACAACAAGAATACCGTAGTCTTCATTGAAGACAAATTTGTATACTTAACTCAAAATTAGTGTGTTTCTTATTTTTAGTATAGCAGTAATCTTAGATTAAACCGAAGCTATCTTTATTTTATAAGAATATGAGGATACTTGAAACAAGTATAAATTTACTTGCGGAATAGGGAAACTAAGCTATAGATACTTGGATAGAGTTGAATTTTCTTGGAATCAGTATAGATTTTTTTCCGTGTGGTCCTTATTTAGGGTGTGTTCGAATTTTTCTTCACGATAGTCCTAAATAGGTTCCAAATATATAAAAAAAATATAAATTACCCTTTTTACATTTTTGAATCATTAAACCACGTTAAAAATGAAAAAAAAAACATAGAATTGACTAGAACTTCCATTTTGACCTCGAATAACTTTTGAACCAGTTAAGTTAGCAAAAAATCACAAGAAACCTTTTTTGTAGAGCGTTAAATTTGTTAGAAGAATATTTATCCTTCTATATAATCCGTTTATAAGTTTATGACTTAAAAAAATCCAAAGTAATAACAGAACTTTTCCCATGTTATTTCCATTTAAAACTTTGGCTGTCGGGGGGGCCGGCTTAATTTTAAAATTAAGAGCTGCAATTTGGCACATTATTTTTTTATAATTTGGAACCTATTTAGGACTATCGTGAAGAAAAATTTGAACACACCCTAAATAAGGACATCCCTAATATATATATCACGGTGCTGTTCTGAGAGGTGATTTTTGGAGTTTCTGTGAAACCTAATTTTTTTTTATATTCTTGTTAATTAGGTCATAACTAAAATTTTAAGAGCAAAATAAAAAAAATTTGACGGTTTGAATTGTTTTAATTGGCTGTTTATTAAAAATATTATGCACTCTTTCAATTATCCAATTAAAACTAGCGATTTAATTTAAATATTTAATATTTGCATAACTAAAAAAAAGGTTTTTACAATTTTTTTTATATATTTTACTGTTTTGTTGCAATAAACGTTCAAACTTTTAATCTAACCTTTGACGTATACATGTATGTTCCCTTAATTAAAATATCCTTAAAGGTTGCCATGAAACTTAGATCTATTAAAAATTTATTTGACGTTTGAATTGTCATTTTCAGTATACGTATTCTATAATTTTTGTTTAGTTTTTTAAAGTGTTTTTTATAAACGAAAATGAAAAATTGTATAAATTTAACTAAGGACCGGTTTATTCATCTTTAGTAAAGTTTATCGGGCCGATAACTTTCATGTCTTGGCAATATCTAGTATCCAAAGAAATTATTCGTCAAATAAATCAAAAATGAATAAATCGGCCCTAAATAAAATGTGGCACCCTTAGAATTATTGTTTAATAAAATTTAATTAATTTAATTTAATGTATACTATACATTTAACCTTAAATTAAAACTTTAAACGTGTATTACAACAAAACAGTAAAAGATATAAAAAATGTATAGACCTTTTTAAGGAAATTAACTAATCTTTAATCTGATTTAAAAAGTTATGATAATATTTAAATAAAATCGCAAGTTTTAATTGGAGAATTGAAAGTGTGCATACATATTTTTAATAAACATCCAATTAAAACAAAATTAACCGTCAAATTTTTTTTATTTTGCTCTTAAAATTTTAGTTATGACCTAATTAACAAGAATATAAAAAAAATTAGGTTTCACAGAAAGTCCAAAAATCACCTCTCAGAACAGCACCGTGATATATATATATATATATATATATATATATATATATATATTCTTGTTTCAATACTTAAACATAATTATATTTTTAATTAAAAAAAAAATTTGTTTGCCCAACAGAATAATGGTTTTGTAAAATTGGGCGAGACTAAATATTTTATATTCAAACAAACGATTTTAAACGAGGATTTAAATAAATTTACTGAGTAGGCATTTGTTTAGTTAATAATTGAATCGGTGAGATTATGAACAGTCCATAACTATATCTCACAAAAATGCATTTTGAACTATAAAACTGATTTTATGAAATAATTTGTGAAAATTTTAACTTTTGGACTTGTACTGTTCCTAATCTCACCGATTCAATTATGTCAATGTTTAAGAAGTAAGAATAGAAGTAAATATTTGTAAAACGTTACTTACTTGAGTTAATATGACAAGTAATCTTCATAGTTAAATTTAAATTTTTAATCACTTAAAAACCATTTAATAACTTAAAAAACAATGTAATCAACACAGTTAGGAAGCTTCTTTTAAAATAAAGTTATATTTCGTATTTAACACTGTCGCAACCGTATTTGTACGTAAGAACTCAAAAATAAATATGAATTTACATGCATATTTTGAAGTACTGATTATTATTGTGGTCTTATACCTAATGATATAAAGCCGCTTCCCTTGATAGAAGATGTGGTTTTTGTTATTATTTCCAAAAAAGCGACGTAAATATTTGTTTATTGGAATTTATTTACTAAAATTTACCTAATTATATAAAGCAGCTTCCCTTGACAGAAGATGTGGTTTTTGTTATTATTTCCAAAAAAAGCGACGAAAATATTTGTTTATTGGAATTTATTTACTAAAATTTGCAGTGTCTTAGTAATAGTGGAATTTAAACCTCAAAAATCGTAAATAAATTTACCAACACATTCCGTATAAGGTATACCCTAGACTGGGACAAAAAAATCAACAATTTTTTTAAGTATTTCGAAAATATGGTTTGGGGTGATAAAAACAAATTATTGTGGAAGTTTGAGTCCATAATATTAATATTTAATAAGCAATTTTAATTTTTTTCTTCAGCAAGTTTTAGGCTCAGAACTCCCAAACCATTGAATTTAACAAAATTGACTTAAAAATATTTTTTTTTAAATTAAATGCTCTACAAAAAAGGTTAAAATGAAATTTTCCGTCAGATGAACCGTTTCCTTAAAATCATGCCTTAAAAATTGGTATTTTGATCTTTTAAATTGGAATTTTGTAATTCATCTAAAAATCAGTACCCATAAAAAAAACCATAAATATTCTTATGGGAAATCAAATGCTTTACAAAAAAACCTCTTAACATTTTTGGCTAAATTCACTCAATCAAAAGTTATTCAAGGTTAAAATTTCGTTTTGACTTCAAATGTAACCTTGAATAACTTTTGATGGAGTGAATTTAGCCAAAAATGATAAAATACTTTTTTTGTAGAGCATTTGATTCCCCATAAGAATATTTATCGTTTTTTTTCAGGGTACTGATTTTTACTTGAATTACAAAATTCCAAAGTTTAAAAGATCAAATTGTAAAACTATACCAATTTTTAAGGCATGATTGTAAGAAAACGGTTCATCTGACAAGAAATTCCAATTTAACCTTTTTTGTAGAGCATTCAAGTCAATTTTGATAAACTCAATGAGTTGAGAGTTCTGAGACAAAAACTCGCTTAGGAAAAAAAATCTAAAATTGCGATGATGGACCTCTTAATATTAATATTATTAAACTTTCACCATAATTTTTTTTGTCACCACAAACAATATTTTCGATATACTCGATTTTTTTGGCCCAGTCTAGTATACCCTATACCAAATTCTGTTGTTGGATATTTTTACCCTTATTTGTAATATTTATTATAAGGCAATTTTGCTTTTAAATAAATATAGGGTCGTTTTGAGGGGTGGTGAATCCAGTGCCGTGTATAGATTAAAAAAAATCTGTTTATATAAATATGAATTCGTAAAATTTACTCAAAAACTGACATAGAAGGCCTTGTATTTTGTAAACATATGTGTTTGCTCTAAAAATACAGTTTATCAAGATCTACACTTTAAAACAATTCCTGTTAAAATCGCATAATAAATAAATATTTTACAGGGGTGAGTCGCAAACAAATGAGTCACACTGTAGAAGGATACTTCTACCCTGTATATTTAGATATATATATACGCTTTATATCTCAAGAAATATCAATCTTAGCGATTCAACTGATAGGACCTTTTTTTAAAAAAATTAAATTTTCTACAAGTTTGTTCTTTACATTTTTTCAAAGAATCCAGTCACTTTTGAAATATCTTCAAAAATATGATAATTTTTCACTAAAATAAGATTTAGTGACCCGTACCATCCTACATGTGCAGATTACAGCTATGGCACATAAAGCATTTTTGTAGAACTTTTGATTACGAGTAAATCCTTTTTTGAAACAATCCAATAGCATAAAATTCGGCTGAGATATAGACATTTAAAAAAAAAATAATCAAAGTTTACGTGTATTTTAAATAGGAAATCTGTATACGCTTTGGTCGAGTACTTTGAGTTAATATAAAGAGCTCAAATTTTCAGGGAATTTTTTTTTGAACATTTTCAACAAGATTTTGAGTTGGGAGCGAAAAAATAAAAATTGTCGTGAAAAAAAAATCACCCTAATATATATGATTGATTTAAAAAAATCAATTATCTTTATTGTTTCAATTCCACATGTTAAATAGTTGTGGCATTGATCCTCACTTAATGGTTGTAGGAGAATACAAAAATAAAAAAGTATTAAATAGTTTCTTGACGTCAATATTTAAAATGATTATATGAACGTTTGTACTGATCTTTTAATTTTGGCGTAGTAGTGCAGTTAACTAGCGTTAACAATTTTGCGTACGAATAAGAATTTACACCAAATTTTAATTGTTAAATTGTCGAATTTAACCTCACTTTTTCGCAATTTATAATAAAGCTAACTTTACCCCTTGACTAAAATGCATAAAAGCCACTATAGCTTACTTCAGCCCGTGACCTAAAAGACATTAAGTCAAAGATTGTCAATGCGAGAGTAGATGTTAATTAGTTTATGTATGTATGTATGTATATATAGTTAAATCGTATATAAAGTAGTTATTTAACCGCAAAGATAATTTTAGCAGCAAGACCTGATAAACAAATTTTGATGTTGTAATTAATATTTTCAGAAATATGTAAATACGTTTTTAAAATTTATAAAAAAATATTAACCGCAAATATAAACGTCAATGTCAAAAGCAATTAGTTATGGTTTAAAGATAACACAATTCGTTTAATTTTACTACAACAATAATGGTTGCAATTAATTGCAATGTAATTTATGTTTATTTATATTTGCTTTTGTGCTATTTATATTTATATTTATTATTTGAAATGTATAAACAAATGTAATAATAGTAATTGTTTTACATAATAACGTAATGTCAAACATTTTAAATTAAAATAGCTGATGAAAAATGTTATTTTTCATACACAGAAAGAAAAACTGTCGTCAAATTTTTGTACATTAATATTATGTATTGGTGCCAACATTAAAAACGATCAATGCAAAACATAAAAATTAATTATTTCCTTCATTGTCCCAACGGTCATTAAACATTGATTTTACAAACTTAACCATTCAATTCTAAATACTCGCGAAAATTAATGCTGCCGTACGATAAATCAGTCAACATAAACATTAGTTAATATTACGAATCGCTATCATCGCACCACTTTTGGGTGGCGAATTTTTGAAAAGGGACTTTTTTATGCGAGTGTTTAAGTTGCTCACGGGGCCGAGTGTGCATTAAGACGAGCTTGAAGAAAGCTTCTCTCACAAGTGAAACACAATTTTTTTCTACGACCCTTTTATTTTTTATTATATTCAAATACAAAACAAAATTATTAATTTTTAAGGTATAAGTTACTTAAAATCAATAAACTTACCTTCTTAATTTAAGTAAAGACACTAAAATTGGAATTTATTATACAAACACAATTAATTGTGTTCTAAATGATATTTAGACAAATTTTGAAACGAATGTCAAACGATGCTGTCAATTTCTTTTCACACAGACCTGTCACTTTTCACATGGAAATGTCACTTTACATGCGTGTTTTGCGTTGCCAATGAAAAGATTCATTTTCTAACCAACGATGCCATTACGAGATGTGACTTTTACATAGTGGTCGTAGAAAAATGCAATTTTTATCTTCACTCAGTCTTATAGCGTTAAAAGGTTAGTTCCGCGTTTAACTCTAAGCTTTATTAGTGAAATTGTGATAAATATAAGGAGTGAACATTGGCGAAGCCAAGGTGTATAAGCTGGTAAGGTTATTGTAAAATTTTTTGACTTTTTGGATTAATTTTTAAGTTTTAAAATTATTTAATCTAGACTTTTTACAGGAAAGCATATTGCTTTAAAACTTTTTAGAAAGAGCATTTTGTAAACCTCTTGAGAGCCCAAAGGTTCATATTATTTGAAAATTTCTCTTGCAATAAAAAAATGTATTCATCAAAAACGTCTTCATTTTAAAGAAACCTCTTTTGTGATTGATTGCTTGGTAATTTGTAGGTATAAGATATTTTTTCCTATTTCTATGTTGCTAAAACAAAATGTACCCAAGTACCTAGTAAACCTTTATTTTAAATAAAAAGGTAAGTAAATATGGCAAATAATTTTAATTTGGTTCGTCTTGGATTTTATGTTAATTTAAGTAAATCATAAACCAATGTTTTCTTGTTCGTAGTATTAATAACCAGGGATATTATTTATTCAAATGAATTACATCTCTCGCCTGACGGCTCGAGACGCAAACCTTATCCTTGTGATAATAGCCTTATCTCTCGTATAATAATATAACATTATTTAAGATTTTTTTAATTTTCTACCATCTTCTGTTTTAATGTAAACATTTTTATATTTGTTGGTTAATATTTTTGTTAAAAATGTTTAACACAAACATCGTAGATATTCCAAAGGTTTATATAAAACCAAAAAAAGGTCGATAATTTAAGAACAAATTAAAGCTCAAATAATAGTATATTTGTATACAAAAGATAATGCGCATTATCTCGAGTGTAATACTATGCTTTTTCTATTCCAATTTAGTAATTTTAATTAATAACAAAATTTATTATAACCTCACTTTCTCCGGATTTTATTAATCATTATATTCGCCCTTCGTATACACTGAAAGAAATATATACTAAAGTTAAATAAAAAAATAATTAGGGCAAATATATTTTATGTTTCATATATAGACTACCACATACATTGCTAAAACAAATATATTCGTTTGGTTAGCAGCCTATTGCTGCCCTAGCAATATAAATGGTGTTTCTAGCAATATTTTTTTGCTGTAATTCACTTATAGTTTACATTTTATAGTAAGGGTAAGTTTATTTTTATTTAGATCTAACATATCTTCTTTACAATAAATGTATTACAAAATTTACCATACATTCATAATAAACAGTAGTATAAATGTGTAAAGCACTAGTATAAAATTTTTAGTATAAATTTGTATTTAC